AAGAATTGATGCTTTTGAATTATGGTGCTGGAGGAGACTCTTGAGAGTCTCATGGACTTCAAGAAGATCAAACCTATCCATTCTGAAGGAAATCAGCCCTGAGTGCTCACTGGAAGGACAGATCGTGAAGCTGAGGCTCCAATACTTTGGCCACCTCATGAGAAGAGAAGACTCCCTGGAAAAGACCCTGATGCTGGGAAAGATGGAGGGCACAAGGAGAAGGGGACGACAGAGGACGAGAGGGTGGGACAGTGTTCTCGAAGCTACCAGCATGAGTTTGACCAAACTGCGGGAGGCAGTGGAAGACAGGGGTGCCTGGCATGCTCTGGTCCATGGGGTCATGAAGAGTCGGACATGACTAAACGACTAAACAACAACATTTGGGTATTTGTAATTTTGACAAATAATTTGCTGGGGTAAATCCTCTCCCATTATCTTTTATTGCTGGGTGTTTATTCATCTTGCTCACGTGGCATCTCCACAATATTTCTTAGTGGGACACTGGGCCCCCTCAATGTTTGCCCAGGCATCACGCATGATGTCATGACATTGTCCATGATGCCTGGATGTGACACTGTCGTGCACAACACCCAGATGCAACACTGTCGTGTGTGATGTTTGGGGGTTGCATGAGCCAGGAACGCGGTGGCACCTCCTCCTCTTGTGGGGAAGCAACCCCTGGCCCATGGTGGTGGCAGAAGGAGGAGGAAAAGGAGACAGAGAAGCTGCTGGCCATGGAAGTTGAGCTGCCTTGTGACACTCAGACATCACGCCTGATGGTGTTATGTCCAGGCCCTGAGTATTGTGGGGTGTGAAACATGGAGTAGTCAAATACAACATTCCTAGAGCGGACATAAAAAGGGGATATCTGGACCAGCCAGTCGGAACTTCCTGTTTCCTCCTGGGCTGGGACAAACTTCCTCTACATGTGACCAGAGGTGGGCGTGACCTCACCTGTGCAGGTAACAAAATAGCACAGGGGAGGCAGCCATCTCTCTCTCTGACTCCATTTCTCAAAGAAGCAACATCTTAGCCTGAGATGCTCTCTTGGCTTCCAGTCAAGAGAGGACAAAGGAACTATCTCCTTATGGGATAGACTCCACGTGTATATATTTTGTAACCTAAGTGTGCCTTCTGGGATCCTTCTGTGAACAGAATGTGAGTAAACTATTTTATATACTTTTATACAAGATTGTGTCATGTCTATTCTTTTAAGAGGGAATAAAGGAAACTTATTTTAGAGGCTTATGCAAGCTTGGCAAAGATGTTGTCCGATGTGTAAGTTTAAAAGGGGAACGTTACTCTGCTAAATCATAGAACTTGTTAACACAAGTTGGGAAGGATATAATTAAACAATATATCCTCTCCTGCCTCCCTGAACATTCCCACATGTATGACATCCGGGTGTCATGCACAACATCGCAACATTGCGCATGACACCTGGGTGTGATGTCGTCAAGTGATGTCAGCCCCCTTCCCCCAATCTCTTTCCCAAGTTGGTGCATCTGATCAGGCAAGAGAGGGAATAAAGATCTACGTCAGAATCTGCTGCCCCTGTGGATCCTGCTGCAAGACAAAGTCCCTCCTTCTGTGCCTCCCACCTTGCCACTTAATGGCTGTTACATGGCTTCCTCCAAAAACAGAAAGATGCATGCTACAGAAAAGAGCCAGGAACCAGAGCCAGTGAGGATAGTT